CCTTGCCTCGCGCAGACGGCTATTGTCTTTCGCGACATATACTTACCGTGCCCAATTAACATCGAGCGGAATATCAATTGGTATGTCTAGAGCTAGGCAACTGTGACTGGTTAACATAATTAGTTTTGGGAATACTTGAGTCACTTGCAGATTTTCAGCTGCTGTCAATCAACGGTTAGGTGCGTGAAGTAAATCTCAAGGTGTGATAGAGTTAACCATCGCGCACTAATTAAAGGCGGGCCGCATTGTTATTAAAGCGTTTTGCCAATTCTCGTCAACAGCAATATTTTTATTTGACTCAATAGAAGACTAACAAACGCCTGTCGGTAAAAACGTTACGTGAATTATCGAAATAGTTCCATGTCGAACAGGCATTTCATAACCTGCGCTAAGGCGGCTTTTTTTTTTTTACCTTTTTTCGAGTGCGAAACACAGCGTAAGGGGGATTTAAAAGAGCGGTGCTTAATCAGCGAGTAACCTGTGATCTGATGAATTTTTTTACGCTTACTTACTGAGATGGCTAACTTACCTTTACGTGGGGTCCTGTAAAAGAGAATAAACAGCGCAAAAAAATGGCTCAATCATTTAGGATCATTCAGAGCAGTGCGATGCCTGAGTCACTCGTTTTACTTCACATATGCACTGTTGTACTCCGCTTTTTTTTTTTTTTTTTTTTTTTTTTGATGACTTAATAACTACATATAAGTTAATCTTCCTTGTTTCCAAAAAGAGTAGAGTAGTAGTCATATATTTACAGTCGTTTAAAAATTAAGGGATTACAAAAGCATCGACAGAAAAACAAACAGTTAAGCGCCCGCTCAAAACAGGTTTACGCCTGAGGGAACAGTTATATAATTATTCATATTTTGATTAAAAAGAGGTATAGTTTTGTTCAATCCATTTAGTTGATGATAGCTACTTTCGAATTAACAAGTCCGAGCGTGCGAGACATCATGTGTCGCGGCATTCTGTGCGATGGAAAGCAAGCTCAAAGCTTGTTGATCTCTTGCGATATAGAAATTAATTGAAAAGACTATTATTGGGTTAAACATTCATCAGAGGGCCTTACATATCCTTTCCGTTGAACACTTGAGAGAGCTTTGTCGGCGTAACATATGTTGTAACTAATACGAGTTTTTTCAACGCTGGAATAAAAAGTAATTTATGAAAGAGAAGGCAATTGAACTGGAACTTCGTTGTCCTAATCTCAATGTTTACTATACAAACAAAATCGTGTAAACGTGCGCTATTTACCTAGAAAACGGCTTTTATTACTATTATTATTATAATTATCATTATTTTTCATATCCTTGAGAAAATGTCGCCCGAAATGGCGATTTCTATTTTCGTAACATTATCCTTTTTGTTTTGGTCAGAAAAATGGCATATATTCGAGTCGCACAAATTGATTGGATAAGTTTGGGTAAATATTTGTGGAATACCAACCTGAAGTTTATTTAAATTTCATTTAGTAAAGGATATATTCGAGCCAACACATCAGATCCAGATTATCGCTGAGAATTTGTTCCAATTTTATGAAACAAAAACTTTAATAACGTAATTTTTTGCAATTCTTGTCTACCATAGGAACATTTGTGAAGATATATAGGTCATCAAAAGCAGCAAATTGCGTTACACTTAGCACGTCTTGTCTGCAAGGAGAAGAGGGTTGAGCACGTTATCGTCGAAATAAAAGCAAGGAAGGGGAGGGAAATTGCACGGCCGATTTGTAGATCGGGTTCTCGAAAATATAACTCATGCAGGATTACCTAGTCCTGTTAAAGGTAACCTTTCCTCTCGTGTTGAGATATGTTGCGATCAAAATTTTCTGTATTGGGCAGAATTTAATTTGATATCTGACAACAGCCTAAATTCCAATTTTTTTTTGTTGAGCCAACGTAAAATTTCTAAGATCGCCATGCGCTTGCCAAGCGCTCTTTTCAAACAAATTTAGTTTCCAGCACATGCGCATGTAGCTGGGAAAATAGGTAGAGTTTTTTTGGCAACTAAACGTAATCATACTGCAAAGACATGAACTGTCAGTACACGATGTGCACTAAAGAAGAAGTTATGAATTGAAAGAAAGGAAATGATGCAGATTTAGGGCTCAACTATTTCCCGCTCACTAAATCATTCCTGCCAGCGAAGTCAATATTATACGGGCCTAAGACACGCACTTTTATCTTTTGATGGATCGATGACAGATATCTCTGTTCGGCTGGACGTAGATGAACAGATGGTATATTTGCGCTAGTTTCCGGTGGACATGACATTTATTCCCAAAGAATAACTACCTATAAAAGAGGATCATGATTAGTTTTGAGTTGTTTACAATTTTTTTAAATACCCATTTTCATCTTCACGTTAACGAAACTTGAGCTTAATGAAACTATTTTCGTGTCGTAAATTACTTGTATTTGTTAAATAAACAGCATTCTGCATCTGCTGCAAAGAGCTTTTAGTCTCATTGGTCCGTTTACGAGTGGAACAATAGAACTTTCGCGGCTTATGTCAGCAAAAATTTGTCGAATGTGATGTTTTCTACACTCGCGTCCTACAAAATAGTTTCAAAGACGTTGTCTGAAATCTGCCGCTCTTGTGATTTTATTAAGTCACGGACCATTATAAGGGTGTCGACATATACTAACGGCAACTTGTGATTGAGTAAGTTGATAAGTGGTGCGATGCGTGGGATTCAAACCAGCAAAATGTTCACAGCCCTGTCTTTACGTTGTGCGCTAAGTAAGTACAAGCTTTACTACTTCTCTTGGTTATGCTCTAGAAACAAAGAAGATGATGAATTAAAAAATGAGTTAGGAAATGAATGATGGGAAATGTCGGTATCGGGGCATCCTGCTACCCTCGGCCGCTTCAAACAAAGAGAGACACAAGTCAAGTGGCAAGTATTCATCTCTCTCGTAAGGGTGCTCGACCGTTTCAAGAAGAAAGTTTGCTTCTTTTTCTGTAACGGCGGCAAAACAATCAAACTCCTTGAATTAGCGCTAGAATAACAACAGGAGAATATCACTAGGAATTTCCCATTCTTAGTTAGGGTTTGTTCGGTCAGTTAACGTTTTACCTCAAGTCTTCACATATTTAGGGGTGGAATTGTATTCGACTCCTTTTCGTTTGATAAGAGTCATTTTTGCAGTCAATAAGCTTCTTCAGGGTGACATGATGCCGACCTGCTTTATGTTTTAGATTTTCAACGTTAGCCTTCTAAGGTAAAAGAAAACGTCAAAACCGATGCTAAAGCGCAACAAATAAAAACTGACTAGATGCTATAAGATATTTTGCCAGTACTATTTCATTGTTTGAAATGAAATTGCAAGGAACAGCGAGGTAGTGTAATTCCAAATTTAGCAATTTATTTACCTTAAAATGTTCTGCAAAAAAAGAATATCTCCCTAGTTTATAACAATAATCAGTCATAGACTTCCCGTTGGAAGTACATCCATCATGTAAACATATGATTTCGGTTGCATGTTGAGACCTTTGCTATTTGTCTGCGTTTAAAACTAGCCTGTGAATGGCGAAAGATAAAAAAAGGGAAGATTTCTAAGATGAAACCAAAAAAGAATCCTGGCTCTAAGGACAATTATCGAGGAAACTCGATGAGGAATGGTTGAAGAAACTCACCGAAACAGATAAGGGCTCGTGGTTGAAGCGACGCGCACACGGTCAGCAACCATTTACGAGTTCTACCGCAGCGAGCTCAAGCTGCTTTTGAGTTAAAAAAAAAAAAAGTTCAATCCAAATTGCTGGTCAGCAGATTATTTAACTACGGTCTGGTAAGGGCAACTATTACCCGCAAAATATGTTTTTGCTGACAGTCTCCCGAGACAACGAGGGACACTTCTGTGTTTCTATTGTCGATCGGCATTGCGAAAAATTTAGAGTGTTGACATAACTTGGCATGTAGTCACTTAAAGGCGTGAATTATTAATATAACTTTGGAAGGAAAAAGAAAAAAAAACATGCCTTGTCACTACGCGATAATAGAGAATGTAAACCATACGGTTTGCCTTGAAATTCGGTTTTCGGACTCCGTAGCATACCAACCGCAAAACCCGGTAGGGTTTCGTTTTTCGAAATGAATCTCCCGCTATTACTTTGGACGTAAAAAAGAAAAAAAAAACCAAGCAAACAAGAACATTATGGGGTGTTAATAGATTGAATATCAGCAGACTGTGGAACCTTAGCAATCTCTGGAACCAGCGGAACTTGCGGAACCGTTATGATGAAAAAAAAGCCATAAATACTAAAATACCTTAACGCTGTTCGAGATTTTGATTTCGGGTATAAAGAAGATAACGTTATAAGAGAAATATGTTTGTTAGTTCTTTTTTGTTGTTTTTTGTTTGATTATTATTATTTTTTATTATTATTATTTTTTCTATCTACCTTGACGTCCAACCACAGGACACCCAAGCTCCCATAGGGAGCATCCGCGAATTTGCAAATATGTTCTCGTTAACAATGGGTTGGTGAAATATAAGTATTCGCATGGCAATAAACAACCGTGCTCTCAGTATTTAAAGATCTGGAATAGTTTTGAATAGGTACAAATTTCACCGCCAAGTGTTTCTTCTTTTACATCTTGTGAATTTTTTGTGGCTGGTTCAGGGCAATTTAGCTCGGTTTTAGTTCATCTCCTTTGCCCGCTACATAATACTTTCCAAGTTACGTCTGCGAGTGACGACAACCAAAGAATCCCTTGAACATTCGCGAAGGTCAACGGTATCCTTAAAAATGTTTTCGATATGTAACAAGTTTTGTTCGACTGGTTGCGGAGATACTGCATTTCTTTCTTTCAATTTCTCAGTCAGTTCCTTAGGGAAGGTAAAAAAGTAATGGATAGATGTTAAGGTGCATGTAGCGAACAAAATGCTTTACTACTAGTCTAACCTGAATTCTAAGAAACTCTTTTGTTTTTTCAAATGTTATTTTCGACATAAAAATTAAATACCATTTTCTCTTGTACAGTCATCCTTTATTTGATGATGGAATTGCCAGGAACAGGTGAGGCAGTGTAATTACAATTTAATATTTATGTATCTTTAAATAAACTGAAAAAAAGGATCTCAATGAATTATCAAAATGATTATTCATAGACTTCCTGCTGCAGTGACATCGTTTTACGATTAAAAACGTTAGTTGGAAAGCAAAACAAAAAAGTCAAAGACTAAAGCTGCTATTACCCTGATTTCCCCAATTTCCACTTTTAAAACCTTGCCTAATTCTTATTTTCCTTCGGTGTGGTAGTGGGTTTTGATGCCCATTGTTTTTTATCATTAATGGTATAAATTTTTTTTTCTCTTTTATCGTTGTTACTATTGTTATTATCAGTATACATTTTTTCATTTATTTACTTGCCTCCATCATCAGAATTATCACTATTGTTACAATCAGTATACATTTCTTTTGTTTATTTATTCCTTTAATTTTTTTTTCCATAGAGTGCCAAGCAACCTCTTTCAAAAACTCATCCTACACATTTTCGAAAAGCGGAGGAAGTGTGGGTAAAAACTGGTATACCTGCATGAACCAGGGAGGTTACTCAGTCTCCATCGAAACTGAAGAAGAATGGCAGTTTATCAATGATGAGATTCAAAAGCGTGGTACTTGGAATAATAGTGCGTGGCACATTGGTTTATGGAAGGGAGCTGAGGGGAGTTGGACTTGGTTGTCAGGAGAAAAACTAAGTATTTCGAAATGGCAAGATTCTCAGCCAGATGGTAACGACAAGCACGCGGAAATATCTAAGAATGGAGGCCTCTTTAATGGTATCTCTTGGGATGATAAAAACGCCTTCATTTGCGAGATGCCCGGAGGTAAGATCACATTCCAACCATAAAGTATATTATGTGCTGAAACATTGCAGTCTTGCACTTGTGTCAGGAAAATTTCTTTTGCTTCTTAAAAGTAAAAATGCTGTTCACATAATATGCTCGGCTCACCTAACTTGTACGTGTGAGCGACGAATGAACTTTTAAGCGTGTATCAGTAGTTGAACATAATGCCCATGAAAAAAAACGGGGACATATGTTTCGAAAAAAAAATGATCACTCTGGGATTTTCCCTTTTTTACATCGCCTGCAGCTGGAAAAACAGCGATGGAAACTGTACATTTCACAACTTTTGTCGAGCGCGCTGAGATTGGGATAATCTAACCAACGGAATTTTCCCTTGCCACAAGTTACAAGGCGTGATCACTGACGTCAGTGAGTGAATCCGTGTTCTTTTAAACATAACGCATCGAAGTATGTATGCCCAAGGTCTTGATTTCCGGTACTGAAGACAGAGTGCACAGTTTTTCCCGACCTTAGCTTGTGAATAACAGTTTTTTTCTTTTAAACTCAACGAAATAATTTCTAAAAGAACCCTAATGATTTAGGGCTTTAATTACGGCAAGATCCTCCATGAACTGAACAATTTTTGAACGAGTAAATGGTAGTTGAAACAGACTGAGGTAATGCAAATTCAATAGAGGCTTTACCGAAATTTTTTTTTTTTTGTGTAATTGAAAAGGTGATTTAAAAGGCTTCCAAACAAACCTTGAAACATTTTTTTTTAACAGGTATCTGTCACAACCTGACACCTGTAAAGTAGAGAGCGTGTAAGAAACAAAAGCGCATGCACGTTTTAAAAAAGAAAACAACAACAACAACATCAACGGCACTGGTTTGGCAAACAAAGTTAAGTTCAATGTCTGTCACGGGAAGTTTTTTCTTTAAAAACAGTCAATGATCTTACAGAAAGTATTACTCACTTCCATTGACTATTGATGAACGAAGTATAGCTCTGTTCAGTCAGTGAATGGAAAGTAATTGTAAGTAAATTTAAATCTGTTTCGAGATTGTGGGAGTTTGCTCGTTTATTTTGTGCAATCGCGTGTGTAAATCTGGTCTTTTGTCAAAAGTGGAATTTTAATGCCACTTTTTCTCTTTGAATTCCTTCGTTTTCTGTTATGAAGTTTACGGCACAAATGTCCATATTGAGCGGACTTGCAAAGACTTACCGAAAGCGTATTTAAAGTATAGAACTGAAGATACCGCTCACTGTTTTTTTAATGAACAAATTGTTTGAACGAATTCAGGTATAAAATGAATGAAAACCCCATCAATCAATTCAATTTTAAACAAATGCGTTACGTTCTAACTTCCTGAGTTACTTATAGTGAAGGTTTAGGTTAATTACAAACGGTTTTTATGCCGCGTGTCAACCCATTTAATGGCATATTTGCTACCAAAAATCATTTCAAAACCATTATTTTTGCCGTTAGCCACAGTGACTTGAGAAAGAGAAGGAGAGGATTAATAAATAATTAGTCAGCTTGATTTGCTTTAAAGTGATTTACGTAAAAATACTTCTCAGCTGGCAAAGCGAAATATATTTATGAAAAAAGGCAACGAAACTAAGGTTGTAGCCAGCGACTCGAGCAAGCGTTGCCGTGCCGCTGAGCAGAAAAACGGAAAAAAAGTACAAGCAAACCCTAATTAATTTATCTTTACTTACTTTCCATGTCAATGTTGATTACCGCCACCTAGATAATCTTTTGAGTTTGTCGCATGTACTTTAAATTGTTGTTTTTGTTTTTTCCACAACCTTTCCCATAACAACTGTATGCGGTGAACTGCGTATCTCCAGTTACACATTTATAAGAACTTACATTCACATTTAATTTTACGTTTTTTAAGTCTGTTCAGATGGGGGAGGAAGAATAGGGGGCGGGGTGAGGGTGGTGTCAGCTCAACAAGGAAATAATTAATTTTCAAAAACTCGACTACCAAAATTACATGAACTCACAGATAATCTTAGCTGATGTGAAGTTAACTAATTCAGAAAAGCAGGTTAGAGATCGCGGACGCCGTAAGATGTTTAGTATTAATTGACAATGATCAAACATAAACTGGAGGTGTTAAAAAAAAAACAGGAATCATATAAAAAAAAATCATAAAACTGTAACAAAAAAAAAAGGAATTATATGAAAAATAAGTCCCGTTTTCTTTCTCATTTATTTTTCTCCTTTATTGTGATTGTGATTTTAATCTTTTTATGTCATCATCATTATTATTATTTATCACTTTGATTATCATTATGATAATTAGTATTTTTTGCTTTTATTTTTATCATTTTGTAGAATGCCTAAATATAACTTTTAAAAACTCTTGGTACATAATTTCGGTGTTCGAAACGTCCGGCCTCAGCTGGCTCGGGGCCAGAGAAACCTGCCAAAACCAAGGAGGGGACCTAGTTTCCATTGAAAACGAAGAAGAATGGAATTTCATCAATGACCAGATTCAAAGGCGAAATACCAGGCGCTATGAAAATAAATGGAGTATTGGTTTAACAAAAAAGGCCAGGAAATGGACCTGGGTGAATGGAAGACCGCTGACTATTTGCAAATGGGAACAAGGGGAGCCAAGAGGTGAACACGACTCGGCTTTCATGTACAAGCGGTCCAGTAATGGGGAGCAGGGCGTGTTTGGTGGTGTTAATGGCACAAGTATAGGATATCGCCACGCTTATATTTGTGAGATTTCCGAGGGTAAGTTGTTATTTTTGTTGTTGTTTTGTTTTGTTTTTTCTGTTTGTTGGCTTTCTTTAATATTATTTTGAGGAAACTAACGGCAACAGAAGCGCTTAGGCATCATAAAAACATTATTTGATATCGTTTGTGGAACTTATGAAAGGATTTACATAAACCCTCTAACAGTCAGAATCAAGTTTACACTAACATTTGAATGAATGAAAATATGTTTGAAACGATATCAATTCACCTTTTTACGATACATATGTCTAAATTTTAGCTTTGTGAGCAGAGGAAAATTACAGATGGTTCTGTTACCAGTAATGACAGTAAACCTTCAATTATCAGTTATTTTCATGTAGTTAATTTATTGTTTCGATTGAACAAAATGATAGTGAATAACAATTGCGAAGAAATATCAGTCCAATTGCTTTTTTAGATAACAACGTGTGATGACGTGAAGTGCGTTATCTTTTGCAAAGAGCCATGCCAGGGACTCATGTCTGTTGAGATACATGCCAATTATCGTTTTATAAAACGAATACAAAAGACTTGCAAATTTATTTTTTCTTCGCATAGCGGAATCAGTTCTGTGTTTATCCTATTTTATATTATTACCCGCTTGTTTTAACTCTAAAGTTATAGGTTCTAATTTCGATGCAATGAAAAATGTGCAGTGAACATAATAAACTAATTAGAATATGGCGGACATTTCGGTCGACCTAGCAACCATTACTCTATAGCGAGGTTAGTACGGGTTACCTTAGCTCTCGTATGTCACCAGAGTGCGTATATACATTTTCTTGTTTAAAAAATGGTCAAGACCGAATTCGAATTTCATTGATGTCCCTCTTACCAAAAAGATGAACATAGGGATGCTTAGCATGCAAGACTTATTATTTTGGCTGGGAGGGTTGTGATGGGACACTGCGTTCTTAACGGTTTCAGTTTTGTAACAGAAAAAGAGCATAACTTTTAAAATAACGAAAATATCGCATTACTTCTCCTTAACAGAAAGGAAAAAAAAACCTAATTTATCTGACCTCATACAGGTTTTTTGTGGTCTGTTGCCTCTACTGTATAAAAAAAAAAACTTTTGAGCGAAAATAAAATGCATCGGTACCACGCTTACCTTCGGGTCCTTCGGAGCTGTTGTTTGGTCTCACTCTATTCCCAGTTCGAGAGCGAGCGCGTTGCGGGATGTGACCAAATAACTGTTGTAAAACAGACTACCCTAACTGGCGTTCCATCTAGCTATTACGTAAGTAAAAGACAAATGGAGGAGGTTATGCACATGTGCGGTTGCGTGCCTAACTTGGAGACCCCAATCGGGCGCACCAAGAAGCTTAGGTACAGAGTGATAAAGTACGCATTTACAAGAGTTCGTGCAGCGTACCGCGGGCACCTGGTTACTGATTACAGAGGGCTTCACGTGGGCTAGCAGAGTTTAAGTAGCGCAAACAAAGGAATTTGGCGTTTTGAGCGGAAAGTCATACTGATCAGTCCGTAGTTGAAAGCTTCATTGATTCTCGGTAATTACACTGCAAGAGAAACGCTAAAGACGACATGAAAAGACTGATTTGAAACTGCGAATATCTATCGAAGAGCGCCGTGACGAAGGAAAGACAAAGAGCTCCGGAAAAAAAAAGAAAGACTGAAAAGAGGTCAACAACAAAGAAAAAGCAAACTAGAAAGGAGCCGAGAAAGGACAGACAGGAGGTAAGTTGATGCTTATCTAGTTTTCTCCTACGCTAAGTCCCAAAACAATTTTAACAGTCGTTAAACAATTCATTACGGTTTTACTACAGTGACGTATTCAAACAATACTCTGCATATTCAAAACTGTTTACATAATGTCTTTCATAATTGTACACATTCTATTTACCCCTCACACTTCTTGGCATCGGTATTTTAGAGCGATTTTTTTTCAAGGCCGCGTAAAGGGTAGCACATCGACCGAAAAATGACTACCCTCAAAGTTAAGTCAGAGATTCTGTATAGTGAACTTAGAAACGTGGTAAATTTTCTCGCCCAGATTTGCTTCTTTATTCTGGAAAATTTGCGAAAACTGAAACGAGCGTCGGTAGCCGTAACTTGGCGTAAAGTAATGCCCCGAGTTGAGACAAATGAACTTTGCTCGTGAAAAGTGCAAAAGAAAGCAAGCTCTTCTCAATTTGACAGATATTTATTTGAAGGATTGACGAATGTTCTAAGTTTAAAACGGGACCATTTCATTAAATTTGAAGCTCGCGAAACGCTATTGGAAATCACCAATATTTCAAAATACAAATATCGCATTTCCTAGCAATTTTCAAATTAATACTTTCCCTGTGTGGTATACCTCAGTATCGGCTCAGATTAAGCTCGTAATAAGTGGAATAAGTATTGTTTTCGAGGATATAAAAATTAGTTTAGGGCTTTTCATTTCCGCACGGAAAGACCAGGCTAAACTTTTTAAAAATCGCAACATCGTCTTTACGTCACGACGGACATTCTCTAACTAAGCACGCCATTGTTAAATCCAAAATTCTTAGCAAATTTTAGCAGTAAGCAACGTGCTCGATCAGTGAAATCAATACAATAAGCTACCCTAACGACGACAGACTGGTTTTTATAACTTCTTTCGTTTCAAATTGTCATTTATTTCCCATGGCGAAATTGTCTACAATAACACATTTTGTAAAGTAGCAGCAGGCGTCTGTTTTTCTTTCCATGTTCGAACACATTTAAGTTGTAAGAAAGTTTTGAGATAAAATTAAGCTTCCAAGTGGACTTGAAAAAGAACGATTCAATCATTTACAGAAGTAAGTCAACAGTTCTTTCCCAAACTTTGAAGAAGGACAGCAATCTGAAATTAGTGTAGATGTAACACATTCAAACACTCGAGGGTTCTTCACTTAAGGCTGAACGTATTGCAATCTTGCTCACATCTTGCAATCTTACGGCCACAAATAATCGTCAGTAACTCAAAGTTTTTTCAAAATTTCGACTGTAAAATTGGGGAAATTCTAAAGTTAAACTTTATCATCCGAAAGAAAAAAAATCACAGAATACAGAAGGGAAACTTCAATTGTGCTAACTAATTTCCTCCATTGCCTTTCATATTTTTGATCAAATAAACTTCAATCAGTTGTATTGTTAATTGTATTGTGAATTACCCAGGTAGACTTCTTCTTCTCAAATGGCCAGCTTGTAAAATATTGCTTCTCAAATTTTACTCACTTATAGATACTAAAAATATATGGTTGCAAGAAAAAGCACACAACCCCAAATCAAAGGGCTCTTGGAGCCAGCTCATTCATTTGCATTGATTTCTTGGACTTGCTGAATATAGGTACAGTTAAATTCGGTTTATGTGAACTTTCAAGACTTTTGGAATAAATTTTATTTTATTTTTGCGCAGTTGTGTGTTAAGAAAACTTGTGCATTCGTGGTGATGGGAATTGGAAAAAAGTTTATGTGGGCTGGAGGTGGGATGGGCAGAGGTCATTAGGCAGGCAGTGTCCTTTTTGTTGGTGTGTGTGTGTGTTTGTGGGGCGGTTCCTCATGTAAGCCAATAACAATATAAGGCACATATGCGCAAATCAGTGTGTGTATACCCCTGAACGTTGAGGACCATGAAAAAAGTATAAATTCTCATTCTGCATTTTGTACCCAGTCTGCAGTCTACATTTTGTACCTAGTCTGCATTTCGTACCCGGTCTGCAGTCTGCAGTCTGCATTTTGTACCGACCGGATTTGCATTGCTGTTTTTGTTCGAGGGAGCCTCAAGTCCGAACCGAAATATCGGGGCTCAAATTATATTTTAGTGAGACTATCTTGGCCGTGTGGGCTGTATGTTGAAGAGCTCCCGAGGACAAGCACAATCATGGAGCAATGATTACTTTATACCAACTGAAGACGAACGCTTGCGCGGCTTAACAATATGGCTGCCTCTGATACCCTTCTGCGTGATCACAGCGTGTTGAAATGAGCTCGCTGCGGGTCCCCTAGGTGTAGACATTTTGGCTTCTCAATTCAAGTTGCATTTTTAGAAATTCGGAACTGTAATTTGTGCTTATTATCTTTATCAAACCCTACAAACATTTTATTTTTTTCCGCGTGAATTTCTGAGCTTCACCGAAATTAATTTAGATTTTTTTAGGATGCGAGACTATTTCCGTTCACAGTCTGCAGTGCAATTTCCGTCCACAGAATACAACTTCCGTCCACGGTCGAGAACTTCCGTCAACATCTGCTTTACCTCAATATCTCATTCATTGCTTTCAGCATGAATGAGCTAAAAAATCAAACTGAAGTGACTATACCTGTACATGAAGATCATAAAATTTTGAAGCATTTGTTTTTATTAGTGATTGACTTGTGATATGTTTGAAATTTTTCCTACTCATCTGCAGGTTAATTAGATTTTGGATTTTACATTCAATTAACTATTGGTTCTTACGTCAGCGTGCGTTCATCGATGAAGCACGCGGGAAGTTTGGAGAGCACGAAAGATGCGTAAGAGTTGCTCGACGCGTAGCCGTGAGCAACTCCAGCTTTTTGAGTGCTCACCAAACTTCCTGCGTGCTTCATCGATGAACGCACAGCTGACGTATGAACCAATTGTTTTATAACATTTTCAACCGGATGGAAAAATTTTTTTCTCGAGGGATTCGTTTGCTGACGTCATGAGCGTGCACAATAGGAATACGAAGCACGCTCGCGCAATTGAATTTGATTAGACAAATATACTAGCTATGTTATAAACTTGGTTAGATTTATTCATTGATACTGTTTCATCATGGCTTGTTTGCATGAAATGATAACTGTAATTTAGATTAAGAGATGTTTTTGGGACAACATCAAGGATGAATTATCTTTTAAAATGGAATACTTCAGTAACTCTCTTCATTTCTCTTCGATGCAACATCATTTAGTATTTCTGGAGGACAATTAAAGGAAGCGGGTTGTAAAAAAAGTAATAACTTTTTATTCAGCTCAGTATTTAATCATGAGAGTAACATTTTATGTTTTCACATGTAACAGGATGGTCCAGCTGAAGATGGCCCGGAAAAGTAGTGAAATCTACTCTTCGTAACAAGGGTGACTTTTGGGGAAACTTGAGCGCTTAATTGGTAAATACGTCTTGGCTTGTACTTCTGATGATAACAGTTTGCTGACAGAGGAAATTGAAATGTCAGTCCCTATACAGGAATGTACCTTTCATCTGACCTGTACAATGAGAACTGAAATGATGTATTTGTGATTGGCACAACTACTTTATTTATAGTGGAACCCCCCTCACCCCCTGAGAAAAAAAGTTAATGATTTTTTGTAAACACGAATGTATGAGAGAAGCTCTGGAACTATTGACCCTGTTTTTGTTAGAATGCATAAGGTTCAATGATTGTAATGATTATTTGTCAGGTATCAAACTTTTCACTTATATTAATCATAGTTGTTGCATGATTGCCATACGTACTTCTTCAAAAGTTGTTGGAGCTGAGTCTGTAGCCTGTCATCCTTTGTTAAGAATTGTGCAATTATTTAATTTTGCAGTATTTACCACGTTGTAACATGTAAATTGGATGGCAATAAATATTCAGGCTCAAGATTTCAAAAATGGTGTTCTTACAAATGCTGTTACCCATTCTTCAAAGGAAACTTTGATTTAGTCAATTGATCACAAGATATTTGAGTTTAAAAAGAAAAAAATCTGGAAAACCAATAATCCTCTTCTAATTAGGACTGAAATTCATGGGCAATCTCCTCTTTGACGTCATGTTTTTATTTTGACCTGCCTCCTTCCCTTTAATGTTTAGGGGTACGTAAATTATCCCTCTCACTCCCTGTGGGTGACTAGCATTCTATTTCTCCTTACAATATCACCCCTGAATCAAACATTAAGGTCGATAGATGAAACTCTTGATTGCTTAAAAAATTCTCTTATTCAGATCATTAGGAAATGCACAGAGAACAGTGATGAGAATATACACAATGATCTTGGGGTGTAAAAAGGATGAGTACGCTATTTATATTTTGACACATGGAGATTGAATCAATTGACATCCATATAGTGCAGAAGGCAAGAATATGAGAGCTATAACTTGATAAGTTTTAAAAAAAATAATTTGGAGAGTTTTGCAAACCATATCCTACTTCTACCTTTCTCTGGATAACAAGTAACAGTCATTAACATTGTCTTATTCACGGTGAATGAGACAGTGATGAGATGATAACCTCCTTATTTGTTTGACAGTTTGCCCTCGTATCGCTGACTTTATCCCCACCCCCCCTCCCCCCTCAAAAATAATTGATGACTGGTCTGAGGGGAAGGTAGTTCTCATAAATTCTCTTAAATGAAATTGGAACAATGCTCTCACAACTTGAAAAGCATCCGGCTGGAAAATTGTCAGCAGATACAATGTAAACCCTTTGCACCTTAACATCTGTATGCATATTTTCCAGACTGTTCTCTACACGTTTCCCAAGTTGCTGAATCAAGTAGAACAATCAAAAGCTTCTTAGGGTTGGTGATCGTCTCTTTTATTCCCATGGGCTTAATGTGTGACTTAGGGGTGGTACTGTGGGGAGAGATTAAATGTGGGTCATTGTTAGAATGGTTTTAAGGATTAATGCGTAAACTGTATTTGAAGGTTATCGTTCCAGGTAGGCTAACACTCATAAATTACCGGTAGTTGTACATAAGTCTTGATCGTGTTGTCGCAAGAACGTTTGACTCAATTTGATTTTAATAACCTAAACTGAATAAGTAGAAATATGGCATTTATTCTTCATTCTCCTTTAAGTGAGCATCAAAGTTTTGAAGTCATCACATGAGGCTTATACCACAGGTTTATAGGAAATCTGCATAAGTACGAGTTTTGTCAACATTAAAGCTGTTGATGCATGTGTACGAGCACATGTAGATGTTGAAAAAACTGTTAATCCTTTAACTTCCAAGATCTAATTGTTAATTTTCCCCTCTAGCTGCCACACATTTGTCGGTTAGTTGGAAGTCACAGGGAGATGTTACATGTTAATCACTTCTGGGAGTTCAAGGGTCAAATGCGGCGAATATTTTGCTTAGATTTCTCATCAAAGTAACCCGTATGAGTATACTCCTTTGTTTATAATCTTGCTTTTCCAGCTCACGCTGCATTCTAATTTTTCGACTAAATTTTATTTTCTTTCAATATATCTGGAACTCCTGGTGTTAGATATCACAGGTCTATTTAGAACTTTTCTGTACCGGTAATTTAAATAAATTTTGCAGCTGTTGGCGCATAAATTTTTCCCCTGACTCTGTTAATGGTCTATTAGGTGTAAGGATTGGGACTGATAGTAATACTTACGATTTTTCTACATAAATAACCCCTACAGCAATACCCCCTAGAGGGGGGGACTGCTCCATCACTCCGCCAAGCGGCATCTCACTGGAGACTAATTTCAGTCTGAGCTGTAGCAACTGGGAAAATGACAACACCCCTCTGTCCTACCAGTTTCAATACAGGCTAGAGAATGGCTTGTACAATGTGTTATATCGTGGCGCTAACAACAACATAACTACCTCTTGGATACCGCCTGGGATCAGTACAGATAATTTTACTGTCAAAGTTATCGCTACAGTAACCTACAATTGTGGAATTTCTGCCTCCCCAGTCTCTTTGAAAGTTCAGGTAGGTCGCTGACCATTAGTTTAATGTTTAGCGTGAAAGGATGTGAGAATATTTGAATTCTTTTAGTCCCTATTAGTAATAGATTAATTATAGTTATAGATAACTACTTTTGACTTTTGCAGATCAAGCCATCTCCGAATGTAACACCCGAATTTATCGCAAACCTTCGTGAGAAATTCATTAAGATCAAAAACCTGAGAGAAGCGGCGCTAATAGCAAACGCTTTAATTCGATCAGTTTCACATGAAACCTCAATGGATTTGCAGGAGAAATACAAGGTACTTTTCAAACTCAATTCGTTATTTAAAAAGCGAAACAAAACTAGTTCATTCTGATAGTATCCGAAAAGCAAAGAGTTTGCCAGGGCCAAACGTGCAAAAAAAATGAGAAGACATTTGTATGAAGAAAATAATAACAATACAAAAAAATCAACTTTCGAAGAACAGACAAGTATAATGCATTAAATATATCAACATACTTTTGAGAAAAATGGAGGCTTATGCGTTAAATATCTGATATTTTTGCAGCACGAGAATTGTTTCGTGCATTTTAAGCGTTGACTTTCCATTATTCTCGCGATTCACCTTCCGTTCTGACGAATGAAGAATGCTGAGGAGAATGCTTTGAATAAATTTCAAAGGAATACTTACAACGTCTTGAAATTGAGGTTTAAAAATACATTTCATGGGCAGAAATCACCAAATATTCCTTTTTTTTTTCTGCTTGGACGTTTTCGGTGATTTGATGCATTTAGATCAATCATGCCCTTACAAATCATTTGATGGGTTTTAACTGACAATGTCATAGGGAAATCTGATACGTTAAGTCTAAATATGTCTTTAGATCAATATCTTTGGAACGAGCCTCACATGGGGGATATAGTCTGGTTGCCTATTTCTTTACTGGTTTCGATAACTTTAAGCTAAAATCTTTGTGGTTGTTTAAGGTGATGAACGACATCCTTGATAAAATTTCGCCCTTGGAAACGAAAACTGTCTTCGACCTGCTTCAAAAGTCATCAGTTATCGGCTCTGCTCTTCAGGTTGGGGAGAAAGTGCCCCATCAGTTTTTGGTAAGTTAATTACGTAATATTGTTTGGGGCTGGAATAGCGTTGGTGGTTACGTCAAGTTTTCATACCGTGAAACTATTTGACCAGAAAAGCTCAAGAAAAACAGCAATAACAACAACAGCAAAGACGAAGAAAACGGAAATGAACAAGCATAAAAACAAGCAACTATTGCGTTATCAAATGAACCAACCTATAGTTTTGTACATACTTTAACTAATTCGCCACAAATTATCTCTAGGACGGTCATAGGAAAGAAATCTGAAAGCAAGCATTTTTAGCTTCATTTAAATTAATTTGCACTCCACAGAATTTCTCCTTATCTGCTATCAGTTCAATGACGTCACGACTATGGTCTCTTGCCCAGAAACAAGACGTAGCAGACATACCACTGACGAAGCAATCAGCAGAAAACTTGGCTTCATGTCTTAATAGCGTGTTGAAGGCAGCAGCAGTGATTGCATCAGAAAACTTCAAATCAAGTTTTCAACAACTGGTACTGTAATGTACATTAGTCTTTATTCATTGGCGAATGGTCCATTGATGATTATTGTAAACTTAACCGTTACTCCCTTCTTCATTCATATTTGGGACCTTTTAAGGTTTGTTTGTATGTATGTTTGTTTTAAGCTTGCGAAAATCCATAGTTTGCTTACATTATATGGTTATTTATGAAATTTCTACAGGGTAAACTACTGGTGAAGATTTCAATGAAGGCCCTCGAGAAAGTTGCAGACTCAGTGTTGGCCTTGACAGTACCTGATGAAAGAACGATATCATTCACAGCGGGACAACTATCCATGACACTCGGAAGATACAGCCTTCATAGACTTTCAGGACTGAAAATAAAAGCAGGAAAAGGCCAGTTTATCTTACCGTCTAAAAGCCAAAAGTTACTCTCTGGAGTGAACAAAACAAGTTTTGTAAATGTTCAGGTAAGTATTCCTGCCCTTCAGGCAAATTTCAATCCAAGGTTTTTTTTTTTTTTGCAGATACCGACACCAGTCAAGTTAAAATAGCACTTAAAGGTTGCTTATTACCTCCAGCAATCATATTTCTTGTTTTGCTTTTGACGTGTTCAACTCTGGCACTTGGGCAACAAAAAAGAATCGAGTCATGTGACCGAAGTGGCCACATGAATGTTATTTATTTTTCGTTGTTTTTCAAATATATTTTCAGTTTTATTTTGATCTCAACTTATGATAACTTATGATTAATAGTAAGACGGAGTACCATGTTTATGTGTTCAATTATAGCAGTCCACAAAAACGAACAAGCAAAATTCTTAATTATTCTTCTTTTAGATGCTCTCATTTTCTTTCAATCCTTACACTTGGGACGCCACAAAGGAGCGAGTTAGCTCTGATGTTGTAACCCTGCTCTTGAAAAATAACAATAGCGAGCTTATTAAAGTATCAAATCTTACGGAAGACATTGTTATCGTCACGCCTTTAAAACTTCAGAAAATCTCTGCTTCAGAAAAGTCATGGTATTTCACAAAGAACGATGATCTACGTTTCCACGAGATAAACGTCAAGTATGAAAACACCCTGCTGATGCTGGAAATCAAACCTCAAGATCCAACCGTACATCTGTTTGTCTATATGCGTTTTAGTCAGCGACCAACAACTCAAAACTACGACTTCAATGCTAGTATCTCTTATGACAAAAAGTGTGTCTGGATGATAAGTGCTCATAACAAAAGTGAAGGGCAAACAGTTTGCTCCTTGAATCCACATACACCGATACAAGTTCTGGCTGAGCGTCCCGGGAAGTACTTTCTCGGCTTAAAAAATTACAATGCCACAGTGAACTTATCTCATAAAAGGGAGAAAAGATCTTGTCTTGGTGGAAGGCGAAGGAAGCGCTCCTGCGTCGAAGTCAAAGATCCACCACCCACCCCACCCCAGAGTGAAAATGTCCCTGTGATGCCAGTTTATGATTCCACAACAGACCAGAACTACACTCTGAAGGTGACCTTGGGTAGTTGTGTTTACTGGTCAGAAAATTTTGACACGTGGATATCATCTGGCTGTCGGGTAAGTGAAAAGTTAAGGGACGATTTTCAGGACAATCTTTTTTTTTTATAATTTGACATTGTATTCGACAAAGTTCAGATGATTTGAGCTTTCCTGAGTATTGTTTGCAAAAGCAAGTCGTCTTGTGGTAGTCTTAACTCATTAAGCTTATCATTGAATTCAGGCTAATCTTTGACTAGACAAAGTCGAATCGATTTGATAACCAGCTGGGGCCTAGCAGCGCCTTGAAACAGAAAAGATACAGTGTGATCAGTTTTGACAGCCAAAATGATAATTTTTATTGTTAACATCTTCCTTGTATTTTATAATTTCAGGTTTTAGCAGAATTAAATGGATTTTTAAACTGTAGCTGTAGCCATTTGACGTCATTTGGGGGAAGTCTCTTAGTCGAACCGAATCCTATTGACTTCGACAAGGTTCTAGTCGAGTTTCAGCAGTTATCAGAAACTGGAAATATTGCAGTAATCGTGGCTATTGCGGTGGTTTTATTGTGTTATATGACTGTGCTTGTTATCGTAAGGAAATTCGACAAGGAAGACGCGAAAAATGTAAGTGTCGAACTAGATTTTGCTTAGGACCATTGTTTTAACAGAGCATGCTCTCCAGTATAACCCTTTCACTTTCATGATCTGGTCGTCAATTCTCTCCTCCGGTTGCCATACATCTTTTTTTTTTTTTTTTTTTGTTAAAAAAGTCATGAAAAGTTGCTTATAGATCAAGATAACAACTTCTCCCTGATAAATTTGAATATTCTCATAACCTTGTACCTGGATAGTGCGCGGACATTTTTGGGAGAAGTTACATGTTGAAAATCTTTGGGAGTTAAACGGTTTAAATAAAAAAGGTTTTAATGTTGATAACATAATTAGTTTTCAAGGATTTTTGAGATTGAAATTTTAACTTGAAACTGCGTTGAGCATGTCCTTGAAAAAAAATAATGTTTAAAAGTGAAGTGACAGCTAATTAAATTAAACTGTTTACAAAGTTTACGGGTTTTTTTTCTCTTTTTGGAATGGGACAAAAAGGCGAATTAAGAATACAAATTAGCTAGCTGTGTTAAGAACTCATGGTGTATCATGTTTTTCTAGAGGGAATTACCGATCCAACTTCCATCATCTTCAAGCAGCACCTATGAATACGTTATAGTGGTTACCACAGGGGCTTGGAAAAACTCCAGCACGACTGCTCATGTTGCTTTGGAGATCTACGGTTCTGAAGGAAAGAGTGGTATTCTTCAGCTTAGCCAAGAAGAGCCTGGTGCAGTTCAAACGTTATTCTCTCGAGGTAATTCAGATGTTTTTGTACTTTATGTTAACAAATCGCTTGGTTCGATTCAAGAATTACAGATTGGACATGATAATTTTGGAGATGATCCCTCTTGGTACCTGGAGGAAATTGTCATTCGGGACGTACAATCCAAGCAGTCGTGGAAATTCATGGCCAATCAGTGGTTTGCTCTTGAGCGCGGAGACGGGCGCATCGAGCGAATAATCGACAAGAACTCAAATCATCTGGATTTTGGCGATGAAGTTGCAAGACGTTGGCGAAGAGGCCTCGCGGAGTGGCACATTTGGATTTCAGTGGCAGCCAAGCTAAGAAAAAGCCACTTTACAAGAGTGCAGCGGCTTTCTTGCTGCCTTTCAGTACTTTTGACATCCATGTTTGCTAACGCGATGTTCTATAAGTTAGAAGGCAAATATGAACAGCCTATCCAAGTCGGACCGCTGAAAATGTCGTGGAGACAAGTGGTGACTGGAATTGAAAGCGCGCTCCTTGTGACGCCCATAAACATTGTCATAGTGTTTCTGTTTCAGAAAGGAGCTGAAAAGTCTGCGAAGAACAATGACCATTGTCTCAAAGGTACCCTGATCTGTGGTGTCGCTTGGTGTTTGTTATGTTTTTCTTGTACTGTTTCGGCTGCGTTTTCAATTTCCTACAGTCTAATTTGGGAAAAGAGTGTCAGTGAGCAGTGGCTGTCTTCGATGTTTATTTCATTCGCACAGGATGTAACAATCAAGGAACCAGTAAAAGTGTTCTTCACAGCTTTAACATTCGCGGCCATTTTAAAGATAAAGGCGAAGAGATCAAAAGTACACGCCTGCGAAGGCCCTCAGCAAGTTAAAACTGGGTACTATAAGAAACATTTTTGGGCACTGAAATTATCAGAGGTGGAAGAGATGAGGAGACGACAAGTTAAGAAACAGAACCTGGCACGTTATTTCACAGAGTTGGGTTTATACTTGGTCTTCGCTTTCTTGCTTATGGCAGTGTGTTATGGAAACCGAAATGACCATCGTTACTTCATGACGAAATCAATCCGAGATGGACTACCAAACTTTGACAAGGTGAGTAGACATTATTTCATTACCATAATTCCGTTGCTAAAACTCGCGTGTTAAAGCGGCTACCTCATACAAACATACTATTTAAGGGGTTGGGTACCATGGGAATGAGCACGTGGGAATAATAGTCTACAGCATGCCCATAAATACTAACTCGTTTGTGTGACTCAAACCGGTTCTACTCATCTATGCATACTATACTGTACTTAAAAAGTATATATATATATATATATATATATATATATATATATATATATATATATATATTTCTATTTCTATTTCTATTTATTCATTTATTTATTTATTTATTCATTTATTTAACCCAATGATCTTCTAATAATCCAGGTGACAAACAATACAATGTACTGGAACTGGTTACAGCGTGTTTTCATCCCGGGAGTGTTTTCTTGCAGATGGTATAACGGTCGAAACGAAGAGCAAACAATCTATATTGGTAATAAACACTCTCTTCTTGTCGGAATGGCTCGAGTACGGCAGCTTAGAGTGAAAGCGAGTAAGTTTTTTCCATTCTTACTTTTTTTGCATTTCAGTGCTGCTGAACATTGTAACAATTGTCTAAAGAAGTGTTTACATAGCTAGGTTTTGTTTATGAACGTTATTTAAATTTGGGTTTTAATGGTGGCGTTCCTTTGTTCCGTAGGCAAATGCTACTTTGAATGATAATAACGGAAATGTCCATGTCTATTTAAAAGTACGAAATTTGACAAACCGCTGAGTGAAATGGATACCAAAACAAACCTTCTGATTATGACCATTTGTTTTCTAACTTTCAGCTCAATGCAAAGTCCTAAATTATATGGAAACATCGTTCCAAGAATGTTTCAAGGGATACTCTACAGAGAACGAAGACAAGACCGCCTACAGCAAACCTGGCTGGAGGCCTGTCGACAATGCTTCGAGGAATGACGAGTTATTACTACTTTGCCCGCAGCCATGGCGATATCAACATGCCAAGAAAACCGACACTACGCCCAGGTGGGGACAGTTCTCCTTTTATGATGGAGGAGGATTTGTAGCAGACCTTGGGTATGAAAGCCATACGGGATTCAGCATAATAACAAGTTTACAGAACAACGGTTGGCTCGACAGAAAAACGAGAGTTGTCCTGGCAGAGTTTTCGACATTCAATCCGTCGGTGAATATTTTAGGTGTTGCCACATACTTCTATGAAGTTGATGCATCTGGACTGATAGCAGCCTCCATGCAAACTCGTGTTCTTTCACTTGATTCTACGGGAACACCCTCCCATCAGTTTTATTTTATTTGCTTGTTTCTGTACATTGTATTTGTTTTACTGTATTTTGTTAGAGAAATTTTCAGGCTTTACAATCATCGTTTTCGATATTTCAAGCTCATGTGGAATTGGATCGAGATATTCCAAATTGTCTTCTCTCTGATTGCCGTGGTGATGTACATAATACGACAAAGTAAAGTCATGTCAACCATGGGCAAACTGCATAGAAACATTTACCAAAATCTAAGTTTCCAAGAAGCTATCACTTGCCAAGAAGTGGAAAATGTCGTACTTGGAATTCTCTCTTTCATCGTCACCACCAAGCTATTGCGGATCATTCGCTTCAACAACTATGTTGTTCTATTCTCCAAGACATTGAAGACATCTGCACGATCTTTGTCATCCTTTAGCATCGTTTTATCCATTTTCTTTGTGGCATTTTTGCACTTCGGTGTCTTGATGTTTGGCTCCGTAACTGAGCGCTACTCTTCGGTTCTGAAAGGAGCTTATTTCCAACTCGAGCTAACTCTTGGGCGAGTGAAAGCTAGACCAATCAATGAATTGGCACAGGCTAACACCATATACGCCAAAATATTCGCCTTCCTAATTCTCTTCACTCTGACCATTCTCTGTATGAACTTCTTTATCGGCATAATCAACGATGCTCTTTTGGATGCTAAGAACAACGTGAGCGAAAGTGAACTGTATGAACTTATCGTTGAGAACCGTTGCTCGAGCTCAAAAGAGAGAACAAAATTTTTCGATGCCATCAGTAATACATTGAAACAGTCGAGGACCTCCAAAACGTTGGCAGAAGTGAAGGACAAAGAATTAGGAAACGTTGGCCTTGACCCCAAGAACAGTTCCAATCTCAACTTTGATTTAACAAGTCAAACTGTCGTAGCTTGGGGGAAGAAACGATCTAGAGAAACAATAGATAAACAGCAATGCAGTAAAGGGAGACAAGCATTGTTCGACAAGATAAGCAACATGTTAAGATCTCTGAAAAGTGAAAGCAATGACGACTGCAGCAAACGTGTAGAAAAAAAGAAAGTAAGATTTCTAGAGGATGTCGTCGAATCTTCCCTCTGTAAATTACGGAGGAGACAGCATGACCTGTTACAGCGGCTGGAGAGTATTGTTTCAGGTTTCACAACGGAAGACGAAGAATTTGATTATTTATTAAAAACAGCAGAGGCTCATAACCACTAGGTTGAGAAAGAGTCAAAAGAAAAGGTGAAAGGAAGTAAAACACCTCATCGAAAATCAATTAAAATAACAGATAGTTAAGCGTAAATCATCTCGCACATACAAAGCAACAGCAGGGATTTCCCAGCTTGTCGTGTCATTGTGGCAAGTAACAAAAAACAGGAAAAAAACTCAGAAAGTTATTTATTTCACATTATCTCGGAGGAAGAACCTCTATTTAACTTTTCTTTGGAGCCTATTGATTGTATATAAATATGGTTCGTATTCAACAACGAAAAAATATAAACTCCTTCATATCATTGAAAACAGAGTAACACTAGGAAAGTTAAGTATTGTTATGTTATATATTCCGCCTGCAATATTTTGCTGCAAAAAGATGTAACGATGTAGACGAATATGTTCGAGCCTCGATGATTTGAAAGATTTTAAAAGTGACATTTGTATTTGAGACTTTTGTAATACTTGCTGTGAATGCTATTGATCATTTTATTGTTAAGCAACAAGTAACTTTACTTATCTTTTCTTAATATATTTTATTGGTTTTATTTATTGCAATTTAATTATGAAATTGAATTAATGTTTTCAATGAATGAAACTTACTTATTTACTCACTTAGACAGTTTCTTTCTTCGGAGAAACTAGCACCACTATGCTACTCTGAAATTCCAACCGAAATAAAGTTATGTATATATGTATAGAGGATTGGAATTTTGCTGGTCTCGAGCGTAATCACTCACTCTATTCCCTCCCACCCTCCCCCCCCTCCCTCCCTCGTGCTTGTTTAAGTTTCCACGAAAAAGACACTGGAATAATGTCATAATGGTAGAATAAGTTTGGTTTCGCGCCTTTTTCGATCTTTTATTTTATTTATTTATTTTTTAATTTGGGTACGATGCAGATTGATTTGAACACGACTAGCCACATAATCGTTCAGCGTCGACAAATCGCGCAGCGGTTTTATCTGAAATTCTCTAGTCCTCCCTTCGTACTTTGTTGGTGACGTACGATTTCCCCCCCCTTTCCCATGGGATCCCGCCCTAATATCCCTCCCCCCTAGTAAGTAAGTAAATGACTGATCCCGATTAGGAGCATTCCACACGTCCTCGAGAACTTAACTGATTTCATTAATAGGTAATTTAGTGTTAACAACTGGGTTGAAAACGTAAATTAGCCACCGTAAAGGGTAAAAAAGCTAAAAAAGCTGACGTTTCGAGCGTTAGCCCTTCGTCAGAGCGATTTATTAATTAATCCAATGCCTCTGACGAAGGGCTAACGCTCGAAACGTCAGATTTTTAAGCTTTTTTACCCTTTACGGTGGCTAATTTACGTTTTCAACCCAGTTGTTAACACTAAATTACCTGCTATACTCTCCCACCGACGCAGCACCACAGTTTCTTTAGAAACTTACCCCTTTACTGATTTCATTAATGTCAACAAAGGGCTCAAACACTGTAAGCCGCCACCATGGCGAGACCCTTCCGACTCTTCACGTCCGTGGCAAGTTAAATGGCGCTTCTTGGGGAAGTGATTGCTTCTCAGTCACATTTTCCCCAATTAGCTTTCGCGAGCACGTTCTTGGTTGTCAAGTACTCGTAAAACCAACTGAACCTTGCTTACTTGGCATGTTATTCCAGTTCTGATCATTTTGGTTACATATTACTTTCAGTACAGAGTTGAATAATTTCGCTAGTTCAAGAACTTTCGCAAAGGAAGAAGCTATAAAAGTTACAGAAAACTTAAAGGGTATTTCAACTTTTGGTGGCCTTGCATGCTATTGTCTTTCGCGACATGTACTTACACTGCCCACTTTATCATCGAACGGAATATCAATTGGTATGTCTACGCAGCGGTGACTGGTCAACAGATTTAGCTTTAGGAACACTTGAGTCACTTGCAGATTTCAGCTGCTGTCAATCAAACGGTTATGCGCGTGAAGTAAATCCCAAGGTGCGATAGAGTTAACCATAGCGCACTAATTAAAGGCGAGCCGCATTGTTATTAAAGCGTTTTTCCAATTCTCGTGAACAGCGATATTTTAATTTGACTCAATAGACGATTAAAAAACTCCTGTCGGTGAAAACGTTACGTGAATTATCGAATCGAAGGCCTTTTTTTTTCCTTTTACCTTTTTTCGAGTGCAAAATGTGGCAGTAGGGGGTTATAAATAGCAGTGCTTAATCAGCGACTTACCTGTGATCTGGTGAATTTTTTTTACGCTAACTTACTCAGATGGCTAACTTACTCTTGCGTGGGGCCCTGTAAAAGAGAATAAACAGCGCAAAAAAATGGCTCAATCATTTGAGATCATTCTTAGCAGTGCGATACCTGACTCACTCGTTTTACTTCACATATGCACTGTTATACTCTGCTGATCATTTTTTTATTATTTTTTTTTTATGACTCAATAACTACATAGAACTTAATCTTCCTTGTTTCCAAAAAGAGTAGAAGAATAAAGGGGTAAATATGACTTTCATATGTAAACTATATGACTTTCATATATTTACAGTCGTATAAGAACTAAGGGATTACAAAAACATCGAGAGAAAAACAGTCAAGCGCCCGCCTAAAACAGGTTTACGCCTGAGGGAACAAGCTAATTATTCGTATTTGGATCCGTCTTGATTACAAAAAGGTACAGTTTTGTTCAATCCATTTAGTTGATGATAACTACTTTCGAATTAACTTGTCGAAGCGCGCGAGACCATGTGTCGCCGCATTCTGTGCGATGGCAAGCAAGCTCAAAGCTTGTTGATCTCTTGCGATACAGAAATTAAATAAACAGGACTATATCATTCGGGTAAACATTCATCTAAGCGCCTCACATGTCCTTTCCGTTGAACACCTTAGAGAGGTTTGTCGACGTAACATATGTTGCAACTAAAACGAGCTTTTTCAAGGCTGGAATAAAAAGTAATTTAAGAAAGAGAAGATAATTGAACAGAAACTTCTTAATTCCAATCGCAATGTTTACTATACAAACAAAATCGTGTAAAACGTGCGCTTTTTAGCTGGAAACGGCTTTTATTACTATTATTATCATAATTATCATTTTCATTATCATCATCATCATCATACTTATCAATATTATTATCAAGCTTATCATTATTACTATTATTATATTTTTTCATATCCTTGAGAAAATGTCGCCCGAAAAGGCAATTTCTTTTTTCTTACCATCATCCTTTCTCCATGATCCTTTTTGTTTTGGTGAGAAAAATGGCACATATTCGAGTCACACAATTTATGTTTGGATGATTTTGTGTACACATTTGTGGAATACCAACCTGAAGTTTATTTAATATTCATTTAGTGAAGAACATCTTCGAGCCATCTTCGAGAAACAACAACTTTAATAACGTAATTTTTTACAATTCTTGCCCGTATTGAAATTTGTTGTGATCAAAATTTCCTGTATTGGCCAGAATGAAATTTTATATCTGACAACAGCCTCCATTCCATTTTTTTTGTTGAGCCACGTGCAACGTAAAGTTTCATTTCTAACTAATTTAGTTTCCAGCACATGCGCATGTAGCTGGGAAAATAGGTAGGGTTTTTCTCTGGCAGCTCAACGTAATCATACTGCAAAGATATGAACTACACGATGTGCTCTAAAGAACAAGTTATTTAGCGAGAGAAAGGAACTGATGCAGATTTAAGGCTCAACTATTTCCCACTAACCGCCCTTAGTTTTCTGATCCGTTAATGTTGATGATCAACTTCAAAGACTCACGAAAACTCATATCGAAGAGGTGATCTAGCGAAACGGAGAATATATATTTATATATTTTTTTTAACCTGAGAAATTCTATAGTTCATTTGCATTCTTACACTAGCGCGAATTCAATATTATACGGGCCTAAGACACGCACTTTTATCTTTTGATGGATAGATGACAGTTATCTCTGTTCGGGTGCACGTAGATGAACAGATGGCATATTTGCGCTAGTTCCCGGTGGACATAACATTTATTTCCAAACAACAACTACCTATAAAAGAGGATCCTGATTAGTTTTGAGTTGTTTACAATTTTTTTTAACACCCATTTTTATCTTCACGTTAACAAAACGTAAAAAATCGATTTCCGTGTCGTGAATCACTTGTATTTGTTAAATAAACAGCATTCTGCATCTGTTACAAAGAGCTTTTAGTCTCATTGGTCCGTTTACGAGTGTAAAAATAGAACTTTTCGCGGCTTATGTCAGCAAAAAGTTGTTGTATGTGATGTCTATTACACTCACGTCCTACAAAATAGTTTGAAAGCCGCTATCTAAAATCTGCCGCTCTTGTGATTTTATTAAGTCACGGACCATTATAAGGGTGTCGACATATACTAACGGCAACTTGTGATTGAGTTAGTTGATGGATGGTGCGATGAGTGGGATTCAATCTAGCAAACTGTCCACAGCCCTGTCTTTACGCTGTGCGCTGAGTAAGTACAAGCTTTACTACTTCTCCTGGTTATGCTTTAGAAATAGGGAAGATAATGAATTAAAAAAATTAATTAAGAAATGAATGATGGAACATCAATATGTTGGTATCGGGGCATCCTGCAGCCCTCGGCCGCTTCAAACCAGAGAGATGCAAGTCAAGAGGCAAGTATTCATTTCTCTAATAATAAAACAATGGAACTCGACAACGTCAGCTCTTGAGTTTTATCACATAAAAACAACTGGCTAAATGCTGAGTTTACAATTTTTTTATGTAGTTTTTGCGCAGTTCAATACATTTTGTGGTTATTCTATGGAAATTTTAAGTAAATAGGGACTGGTTAAATATAAATATCTCGGTATTGGAACATCCTGTAACCCCAAGTGAAATCCAACCGGAAATAAGATGATATTATCGGAAGCTTCTAGTGGGCCCTCTCATTCAAACTGAACTTTGGTAACGTGTCGGTTCTTAAGTTTCATAATACCTGAAAATAATAAAGGTAATGAAAATAAATAGATAGATTAAAAAAGGAAGACATATGTTTTAACTTGTTTACAAGTTTTGTTCAG